ATGCGCATTAAAAATATATTTAAAGAAAACTTTTAATTCTTTAAATTAGGATTTTCTGATCATGGTGCTTGAGGCTATGAGGTTTTCATGGAGATTTATCAACTAGGTTAAAAGTTGCCTTACAACGCTATTATATTCATTGTTAATTAATGAAAGATTGGTTGGGTATTTTAAGGGAGCTAGAGAAGTAAGACAAAGGGACCCTATGTCACCCTGTTTATTTGTCATAGCAATGAATGTCCTCTCTAGGCTTTTAGACACAGTAGTAGCTCATAGAGTCTTTCTTATCTCCTTAAGTGTAAAAAGATCCAACTGACACATTTAAGTTTTGCAAATGACCTATTAATCTTCACAAAAGGGCACCTGGAGTCTATAATAGGTGTTTAGAAGGTACTAAAACTATTTTACTCATTTTTTGGCTTACAGCTAAATTGTGCAAAGAGTGAGCTATTTTGCAGAAGAGTGTCAAGAGAAAAATTAAATGAAATAATGGTTGGAACAGAGTTCAAGCATGGTTCTCTTCTTGTTAGATACCTAGAGGTACCACTGGTTTCTCGCAAGCTTAGTGTTGGAGACTGTACGCCATTAATTGAAAATATCATAACGAGAATTCAGTGTTGGGCAACAAGACACCTCACTTATGCTGGTCGGTTATAGTTAATTCAGTCTATTATCTTCAATCGTTATAATTATAAGTGTAGGTACTTTATTTTGCTTAAGCAGATTCTTAAGAAGATTACTTAGCTTTGCCTAAGGTTCTTTTAGAAAGGGCAAACCGGCATTGTAAAAGGGGCTCAAGTCAGTTGGCAAGTAATTTGTAAGGCCAAGTTTGAGGGAGGGCTTGGATTAAAAGATATAGAGGTATAGAATCAAGTTTATGTACTCAGACTTCTTTGGCATATTTTTACATAACTGGCTCTTTATGGATAACATGGATTCAGAGTTATGTGCTAAAAGGAAAAAATATATAGGAGATTCCAATCTCCCATAACTATAGCTGGGGATTGAAAAAGATGCTTAAACTTAGAAGTATTGCATCCATATTCTTAAAACAAACAGAGAATGGACTAATATAGAAAGATCCTAGATACTCTATTACCTATGTGGATGAGGAAATACGGAATAAGCAGTTGAAGGTCACTTGGCACAGACTTATCTTGCGCAAGTTACATGTTCCTAAACACTATAATAGCTTGGATGGCCATCTTTAACAGGCTCCCTGCGAAAGATAAGCTGATCTCATGGGGTATTATTATGGATGTAGGATGTGTGTTATGTAAAAAGGAAAACGATAACAGAAGTCACATTTTCTTTAGCTGTACATACTTCAAATGTGTCTGAAAATAGTTACTACAGTTATGTAATCTACAGAGAAAGGTAACTAACAGGGAATAAGAGTTCCAATGGGTAGTAAGCATGTTGAAAGGGAAAGCACTAGTTTCAATTATATTGAGGTTGGCCAGGGGAGCATATATTTACTTGATTTGGGCAGAAAAGAAAAGAAGACTTTTTAGATTACAAGAAAGCACATGCAAGCAGATCTTGGAGCAAGTAAAACAAATAGTAAAACTAAGTTTAGTAGGTATAAAAAATATAGAACATGACCAAATTAAGCAAGTGCTAAGTGAGAAATGGGAGCTAGGTAGAGAAATGTTTGTATAAAAGTTGAATAGTGTTGTATTGGTTACTTGGTAGTAGCAATTGCTACTTCTTGGATAATAAATTCATTACTTACAAAAAAAAAATTGGAGTTCTATACATCAATTTATAAATTTACATAAATCAAAATAGGGAAATAACTTCGTATTCTTAATTTTCATTGTAAAAATCTAGATATGCAGTCACACAATTTATGACAAACTTTATCAATTTTCTCTTGCGTGAATATATTCTGCTAGGAATAAGTTCAGTAAAAGGGAAATTGCTCATATCATTAGCTAAGAGCCATTGAAACTTAAAGAAGTAGTATGTTGAACAATAATTAGCAATTTAATCAAATAGGGGATAGTAACAAACAAGTCATTGAAACTACTTCATTTTATACAAACAAGCCAACGCATCATTAACTAACATTAACTGACCCTTATTCTCCTAGTTCTTTAATCAAACAGATGATAGTAGAAGTAGTAACAAGCCTCTTATTTTCTGTTCTGGACATTTCTTTCCGAAAATGCCAAAAACCATAGAGATTTAGATAGCATTTGTTACCTCTAACAAAGGCGATGTTAAAAACAACAATAGCAGCAGTAAGACGACGACAATGATGGCTACGAACATTGGGGTTTTGGGGTTTTGCTATAATAAACTTGATTTTGGGATTATGGGGTTTATGTGAATTTATTAAAGATTACATCAAATGTGGCGTTTTTATATTAAAAAATTTAGTATTTATTTTCATATTTTTTTCATATATCAAATACGATATTTTCAATACGAAAATGTGCTATTTATATGAAAACCTAATCTTTGTTTATTAGGCAAATATGATATTTTTGTTACAAAAACATTGTATTTGTACTTTTTATTTTCGTTATTTTTTTTCAAATACGACATTTTTCAAGATGGAAATGATGTTTTATTTTTATTATTATTTTTTCTAAATATGACTGTGTTTTTGTTTTGAAAAACGTAATATTTGTTCAATTTCTATTTTTCCCTAAGCCAATTATGACGATTTTATTACATTAACGTAGCATTTCATTATATTTTATTTTTTTAATAACAAAAACTATATTTAAATTCATATTTTATTGGTTAAATATTACGTTATATTTAATAAAATCAATTTATTCGACATGTAATGAAAGTTATTATTGTAAAAAAATTTATTAAATAATTTTATTTTTCTTTCAACCAAATATAAAAATATAAAATTTTCATACCAGTAAAATCATCTCTCTCCGAAATCAATATTTTCTCAAAAATCACTTTTTTTTTTTAAATCTAAAATTTTACAAACCAAACGTGTCATTTGAAATTTTGAAATTAACAAACTTAAAACTTTCATTAAAACTTGATATAAGGAGTAAATCAAATCTAAACTTGCTAATAGTTTAAGTTTTGTAATATTGTAGTGTCACGTCAATAATATTTTGATCATATAATTTCATAATTATTTATTTAGTTAATCACATTATTATTTATAAAACAATAAAAAAATTAAATTAAACATGCATATATTTTTATAATCTTTGTATCTCTCTCACTCTTATCTTTTTCCTTTGCTTTAATATTTTTTTTATAAACTCAATTAATTTAAAAGTTGGAACATTGTCTTAAAATATTATTTTTGACATCTTTTAGTTTATATTTTTTTGTGATAAGTCTTATACGTTCTCTAAATCAATCTCTAACAAATTACATTTTCATCAAATCAAGAATTTTATCAACAAGCTTCAACATATAAATATTAAATCCAATTTAACTCACAATTTTAATTTAAAGTTGAGATCAAATTCAACAGAATGAAAAAAAAATAAAAAATAAAAAATCAAATAACTTATTTTCTTTAATAATTCAACAATCCCTTTTTGAATTCTGTAAATATTTAAATCATTAGCCTAATTATCTTCAGTATCATACATAAATGACGAATTTTTTTTCCTAAATGACGAAATATCTTTGCTGGATGAATCATCAAAATTTTCTAAGATGATTAAAAAAAAAAAAAACTTATTTTTTAGTTTTAAAAAATCTCCTTTAATATCCACATATAAGATGGAAACGACAAAAGCATATTTTCCCTGAATAATAATAAGAGCATAGTACGCATCATTTCCTGATCCAATGGATGTAATCTTTTGTCTTGTCTTTGGAGTCGATCGTTACTTGCAACTCTATGTAACCAAAACAACCTCGTATCAGTTTTGTCCCTTTCGACAAATATGAAGATATCCTTAAAAACTCTTGTATTTTTGGGCTAACGGTTGATGAGAAAAAAATAAAAAATCAAATAACTTATTTTCTTTAATAATTCAACAATCCCTTTTTGAATTCTGTAAATATTTAAATCATTAGCCTAATTATCTTCAGTATCATACATAAATGACGAATTTTTTTTCCTAAATGACGAAATATCTTTGCTGGATGAATCATCAAAATTTTCTAAGATGATTAAAAAAAAAAAAAACTTATTTTTTAGTTTTAAAAAATCTCCTTTAATATCCACATATAAGATGGAAACGACAAAAGCATATTTTCCCTGAATAATAATAAGAGCATAGTACGCATCATTTCCTGATCCAATGGATGTAATCTTTTGTCTTGTCTTTGGAGTCGATCGTTACTTGCAACTCTATGTAACCAAAACAACCTCGTATCAGTTTTGTCCCTTTCGACAAATATGAAGATATCCTTAAAAACTCTTGTATTTTTGGGCTAACGGTTGATGAGAAAAAAATTTAAAAAAATTTAAAATTAATTTAAAATTATAATATACAGTTTGATTTCAATTAATAGTTTTATTTGGTTCAGATTAAAATTAGATATTAAATATATATATATATATATTAAGTTTGAATCAAAATTTAAATTAAAATATAAAAAATTAAATAAAATTGAATTATATATTTTTATTATTTTATATATATTTAAATTTTTATAAAATAAAAATAATTATTTTATATAAAAATCTATTTAAAATTATATTAAAATTATTAAAATTAAATTAATTTTTAAAAAATTTAATTTTAAAATTTAAAAAAAAAAATTTTTAATTTAAAATTTAATTTAAATTAAATTAATTTCAAAAAATATAATTCAAATTTAAATCGAATTTTAAAAATTTATAATATTATATGTAATTTAAAAAAATCAAATTAAATTCAATCAAATTTAAATTATTATCGTCCTTAATTGACGAAAAATCGGAAACCATCCCAACCCAACCCAATCAAATTCAGATCAAATCGAAGAAACCCATTTGACCCAACTCCCAAGAAGGGACAAAGTTGTAATTCCACTAGAACGAAGGCCTGCCCAATAAATATCAATTTCAACAACCATCTATCCGAAAAACAATCCAACCCTAAAACACTAAAAGCCCAAATCAAACAAGATATTCGCTCTCCTCTTGCGTCTCCACAGACATTTTTTTCGAATTTCCCTTTCCATTCGATTTAATCCCCAAGCTCTAGCAATTCATGGCGTAGAATTCAAGTACAAATCTATTGCTCTCTCTAACAAGTATTTCTCTCATCTCACCATCTCAAGGAAAGAATCGATCTTCAAACCCTAGAAAATGTCGGGCGGATTTTTCCGGGTAATTATTATATATATTTTCTCGTGTGTGTTGCTCAGATCTTTGCAATTGAATCGGTTCCGACTAATTTTTTTGTTTTTTAAATTAGGGTACTTCGGCTGATCAAGACACTCGATTCTCCAATAAGCAAGCGAAGCTACTGAAATCACAGAAATTTGCTCCTGAATTGGAGCATCTGGTTCGCTTTTAAATACATTATTATTGATTTTTCCATTAGAATTTGACACAATTAATGGTTTTAATGTTCTATTTTAGTGTTTAATTTCATCAAAACTAAAAAAAAAAAAATTGTTGTTTTTCTAGGTTGACATGACGAAGGTTAAGATGGATGTTATTAGACCTTGGATTGCTACTCGGGTAACTGAGCTTCTTGGTTTCGAAGATGAAGTTCTTATTAACTTCATCTACGGTCTTCTCGATGGAAAGGTAATATAATGTATTCCCCCTATCTTTTTTTTTTTCTCTGGTAATGTGTGTAGTTTTATAGTTTGACGTGGTTCGGAAGTGATACTGCTAGCTGTGGGGTTAGTAGCTTCAAGATATACTTCTTGTTAGTAGATCATTGCCTTGGGCGGGTGGCTTACACATTAGATCTTTTCCTTGAGTTGTGAGCTGTATCTCTATTCTGTGGCTTCCTGCAAAGTGTTTGCTACTACGATTTTTGATAATGGTGCAATGTTGTTTATAGTTCATCTTGTTGTTGCCTCCACTGCAGGAAGTTAATGGCAAGCAAGTTCAGATATCCCTCACTGGATTCATGGAAAAGAATACAGGAAAGTTTATGAAAGAGCTTTGGATCCTTCTGCTTAGTGCACAGAGAAATGCAAGTGGTGTTCCTCAACAATTCTTGGATGCCAAAGAAGAAGAAACTAGGAAGAAAAAGGTTAAAATATTTCTAGGAGTGTGGTTTGCGATCATGTTAGTATTCTTGTTTCTTGTTTAACAATATTGTCATGGGTGGCTGCAGGCAGAGTCAGACCGGATAGCAAATGAGATTCAGAAGAAGAAAGAAAAGGAAAGTAGAGAACTTGAACAAGAGAGATTGAGGAAGATGGTAATACTAAGTTTTTCATGCTGGAGTTGCAATGTATAGGGTTGGGTTTTTGGTTTTAACTTTCGTTTGTGTTTCTTATGGCATTCAGCTACCTTCTGCAATTATTTGGGTTCATGTCCTTTACCTCAAACTACTGTAGGACGATGGTGATGAAGCGAAGGCTGGTGATGTGGAGTTGGATCCATTCTCAAAGAATATGCCAAAAGGTTCAAGTGCACATCCTGAGGATGAGAGAGATGCTGACCAAAGGAATGGTGTCGGAAGGAGGAGGTGAGGACTGAGGAGTTTTTTCTTTGATTTGGTGCATTTTTTCTTTCTGTCTATGGGTTATCATAGGTCACTTTTGAACTTATCAAATAGTACCAATATCACCTGAAAATTTGCTGCTTTTGTTAGTTTGGGGTTTTCTTTTGGGGGGTGGGGGATTAAGAATTTATTTATTATTTCTTTCTCGGTACATTCAGTTTTGGGCCATGTGATTTTAGGTGGGTTTTGTTCATTCTATAGGCCTGTTCCCCCCCCCAATCCCAAAATTGGAAATCCAAAGTTGTAAACAATTTCATATTTGTTGAAGTTTGAGATTGTCCATTAAAATGGTTTGAATTTGTAGCCTTTTCTTCCCAAATGGTTAAGCTCAGTAAGTTGAGGGATTATTAGGAAGTGGTTTTTGAATAGAAAAGATATTTATTGAAGTAAATCAATGCAGTTTATTTAAAACTAGGAATTTTTAATTTTTAGAACACTTATGATGTATTAATCTCTTGCAGAGTTTCTAAATCTCCACGTTCAACTGACTTTTCTCCATCCCCTCGGTAATTTAATCACTGCTAGGTTTTAATTGTATTGTTTGGATTGCATTCAAAAAACATGTTTATTAAATATCTTGGGTTTCATATGCAGAACATTGCTTTCTCGATCAGTCAGCAGATCATTTTCTAATTCGAGAAGCTATTCAGAGTATGTTCTCTCAATCTAAAAGTAAATCATAAATGCACTCAGATCATTGGGCCATGAGAAAATTTGTGTGTTAACCTTTCTATCCTTAAAATGGGTGATTACATGTTTAATTTTTATGCTTCTGATCTTTATTAGTGTTCCATTAGTGTAAGATTTTTTTTGAGATTTAAGCATCTGAATTTACATGCAGCGACAAACAGAAGTCTAGGAGTGTATCTAGATCACCTCAACCTTGGCGGCGCTCTATTTCAACTGATAGGATGTATCGTTCCCCAAGAAGGCAATCTCTAACTCCTAGGTCTAGGCATACACCTCGATCATCACGCTCTCCTTCAAGACAAAGACCATCTTATTCCAGGCGAAGATCTCATTCTCGTTCACTTCGCAGATCACCATCTCCTGTAAGACGTAGATTACGTTCTCCTTACCAGCGCAGGTCACCTACATCTGTGCATCGTAGATCCCGATCACCCATCCGACGTCATAGATCACCCTCACCTTTCCGACGTCATAGATCACCATCACCTATCCGACATCATAGATCTCCATTATCAATTCGACGTCGCAGATCACGATCTCCTGTTCGACGTCGCAGATCTCCATCACCCATGCATTATAGATCTCGTTCACCTGTACGCTGTAGATCTCGCTCGCCTGGGCAATGCATATCTCCTTCACCTAAACGCCGTAGATCTCCATTGCTTGTGCGCCGTAGATCTCCATCACCCTTGCAACGTAGATTACCCTCTCCTGTGCGACAGCGGCATAACAGATCTTCATCAACACCCCGACGTAGGTCATCATCTCTTGTGCGACGTAGATCACTTGCTTCTGGTCGTAGGTCAATAACTCCTCATGGTAAGTCTCCTTCACCTTATCAATCAAGTTCTTTGTCTCCTGTGCAACATAGATCTTCACCAGTTAGGAGATCTCCAAAGAAACGAAGATCACCTTTGCTTTCTCCTAGAGAAAGACAACGGTATGTTGACATCCTCTTCATAGAGATTTTGTTTATTTGAAACTTCTTAAATTGAATTTGCGGAGCAGTCTAAAGTCTATTGCAAAATTCTATGGTGCAGAATGCGTGGAAAGTTGTCTCCTGTGGGACTTAGACCCTCTAGTGTTAGACCCCCACGTAGAGATCTTATGGATCAGAGGGATGCAGGTGATAAAGTGCCGGCCTTATCACAGAATAAGTCTCCTGTCTCTGAATCTCCGTCACATGTGAGGAATCGATCTGCTAATGAAGATAGGAGGTAATTTATTAAACTTTGCTTTGAGATGTTTTGTTTGTATCATAATCCAGTACATTTTTATTGAGTATCCATGCTTATGCAAGTTATTTATTTTTTTACATTGTTGATTCTGAAGGTCTTCGAGTCCATATGAGAGTCCTATGAAGCAAAGGAGGGAGCGAATTGCTCATAATGATAGCTTTAGTCCTGAATGGAAACCAAGAGAATTGAGAGGTCAGCGGGACAGTCAAGGTACTGGGAGAAAAAATGAAGCCAGCAGAAGCAGGTTAGATTCCAAATTAATCATTTTTCTGACTATTTTAGTGCTTCTGTTGGTTCTTGTTAGATGATGAATGTTCAATTTGTTTTGGTCTAATTTCTCTATAGGCATTCACCACCAGTCAGTAAGCAGAGGGTTTCTCCTAGGAAGGTTCATACTCCCGAACGATTGACAGGCAGTCTGTCTACAGAATCGAGAAAGAAAGACCTTGAAATGAAGAGGTATTATTTTGTCACAACCATAACGTTATTCTTGTTTGATTATCAGTACGTAGAGGCCTGACTATTCTAGCTCATTCCTCTCAGTGAGAGGTCTTCTGGAAAAGTGGTTCATTTGGGAACTCCTGATCGACAGAGATCACCAGCATTATCTGAGGACTCATTTCAAGGCGAGAAGCAAAGTGAATCACACCTTGGAGAAGGAAAAAGATCTGATGAGAGGAGCCGTTCCCGTCAAAATAATTTGAAGGACAGTGATCAACACCACAAAGCAGAAGCTTCACCAATGTTGCTTGAAAAGGTTGATCATAATAACCGTGGATTGGAATCAGGTTCTGAAGAAAGTGATAAGTGCAGAACTAAGTATAAGGAAAAGAGAAAGCATAAAAGGTCTGAGAGGCGTGAAGTTACTTCAGATGGCGATTCTAGCTATGATTCTGAAATTGAGAACAGGAAAGAGGCTAAGAGGAGGAGGAAGGAAGAAAAGAGATTAAGAAAGGAGGAGAAGCGTAGACGTCGTGAGGAGCGGCGTCGCAGAAGAGAAGAACGGAATGCAAAGAAGCTTAAAATGAAAGATCAAGATGTTGACTCTAATTCAGATGGTGAACATGCGGCAAGGATGAAGTCTCATCCAACTGATGATAAAGAGGCAGAGACTGAACAGAAGCAGCTTGAAATTGAGTTAAGGAAGAAGGCACTTGAATCACTCAAAGCAAAGAAGGGCATTAGTCGCTGAATCTTGTGTTTTGAATGCTAATATGTTATTTATCTTTGTTCTCGTTCAGCTGATACATTTAAAGTTTGATAGGAATTTTATGTTTCAAATTGGAGTGTCTCTATATTGGTTACTGCTTAATGTAGTTTGTGTTTACTGCTGGCAGCTGGAATGGATAAATGACGATTTCCTGAGCTTTTCTGTTGCAACTTTATGCAGACCTTGCTGCTAGATTTCTGGTAATAACTGTTTTCCCTTAATTGGGAATTTGTTTTCCTCATAATTTGTCATGATGGGTGTGAACTTTGAAGGCGTGTTGTTGCCTTGATTAATTTTTGTGGTTGACTTATTTGATGTAATTGATGTGAAATGTGAGTATGACTTATGCCTGTGGGTCGAAATTAAACTGGTCTGTATGATCAAATAGGTTGTTTATTTAGAAATGAAACGTTACATAGTCTTTTCTGATGCATTAATATGAGATTGCTAAATCACCTTTATGGTCAATTGGTAGATAAATTTATTTTCAACTAGATGACTTGGTTGAGCAGGCCATGTGCAGATCTCCAATTGAACTTCAATTCAGGTGCGGAGTTTTCATTCTTTTATGGGTTCTTTAGGAGAAGAAATCAGTCTGGAGACGAATCCTCTTTGTTCATTAATACTAACTAACTACTTTCTCACTGTTTGGTTTAACCTCTATGGTTGGCAGCTTGATAGTTGTTGCTGGGACATTTTTATCTTAAATTATTGCTGGTTCTCAGACTTGTGCTGTTCTGCTGATGACATTGTCATGTATTTATTTGCAATGATTAACTCTGTATGAGAATATTGCTTAAAATCTTAAGGGTATTGATTTATTGGAATTTCCTAATCAGCTACGGGTCTGGAATGTCATTATAATCAAATCTGAGCCTTTTGGGTTCTAGGTTGTTGGGCATGAGTTGCAATATGGCCTATGTTTGAAATGTAGTGTATGTTTGAAATACGGCTAGAATGAAAATCTTTCTTATGCATAGTTATATTTGGTGATCCTTCAATCGCCATGTGATGCTGCTTTTTCTCCTTTCTTGATGGGGTGTTGATGATTTCATACTTGTTAGTGAGGGTCTATCTGCCATGCTTCTTCATTATGTCTCAACTATTTGGGTTCTAACTTCTAAGCATTTATCAAATGCCCTGAATCGGTATTGGTGGCTTTGTTGCAAAGGAATATACTATAGTTAAAAGTTGGAGGCGGTGAAAGTTGAGCTTGAGCAGGATGTAGCATCTTGAAAGCTTAACTAAACGGAGTTGTCTTATCATATGCCATGGTCTCTTTATCTTGGCAGTTGGTAGAGTAACTTATCCCCCCGCCTCGGAAATTTCTAGTACGGTCACATTTTGGTTGGTTCTTGTTCATTCTTAATTTGTACAGCAATTTCACATCTTTTTCATTTTCACGAAGCTACTAAAGAGAATCTTTGGATGGTGAAATGGTTTTATGCGCTGTTAAGCTTCTGGGGTTGAGGTAGATTTTTCGGGTGCAGATAATTTTAGTTTTGTCATTATTGGTGGTTGATGACAGTTGACACTAGCTTCTATCCATGTGGTGTCTATTTACAATGGGATCTGTTAGTAACTTCTGAATCGGACAGAGTAGCAAATGTAATTTTCCCTGACTTCTCTTTCTCGAGAAATTATTTATTTTCATGTTCAGAGAAAGATGGGAAGAGGACCAGCCTGAAAACCAGGTTGATCCAAACAGCCATCTGGTTGTAGGATTCATCCAAGGCCTTCAATGGATGAGTGGCAGTTCTAGTTTTTTCTGTTCACAAGTGTTCTGTTGCCTGCTCTAGAGGTGATTATTTGCTCTACTAGAATCAGTATCTTTGCTAATTTGCCAATTGTTTATTGGTTGATATTCAGGAACCTGATATAATTAGGTAATTTACCCAGTTCATGGAAATAGAATTTCGTTTCTGTTAAAAAGTCCCAAAACCGAAAAGATTTAAACCTGAAAACTCTGATTCGTCTTAATTAATCTGGATTTCTGTTCGCATAAAGCTGTTGTCCTTCTGTTTATGTGGACCATGCTTATCCGACTGTAATCAGTGGATTAAGCTTGCTCGAAACCAAATGAACTGCTGACGGATCTGTCATTTTCTGGTGGTTCAGCACGCATTAAATCTGGTGTCCAATTTCCTTTAGTAGAAAAAATTGACTACGTGGCTCATCTCTATTTGATAGCTTGCCATCACGCTTTCTCATCTGGAAAAAACACAGTTCGGTTGCCATAGCCACAGGCATCGAGAACTATGACCTAGACAATAGTAACATACAGAGAATAGTACTAGAATTTAACCATATCCATGGCTCCAACTCTCACCTCAAACAACACGCCCTAGTCAAGGCTATCCCTCATGAACCCAAGATTCACAGTGTTGCCAAAAGCTCCGGTCCTTTTCAGCTTGGAAAAGCTAAAGGCAATCCCGAAGAAGGCCAAACTGTAGATTCAGGCAATTCTAGTCCTTTCCGTTTCAATTTCGGCAAGGTACCTGACATGAAAACTTTAGTGCCAGTTGTGATTAAACCTTCTACAGGCTTATTGTTTGGGAACCCAAGGAGGAAAGATCCAAGCACTGCCTTTGTTGCTGGTGCAACGGGGCAGGCTGGCATCCGCAATGCACAGACATTATTGCGCCAGGGTTTCACTGTTCGGGCTGGTGTGCCAGAACTTGCTGCTGCACGAGAGCTGGCTCTTCTTGCTGCCAAATACAAGGTTAGCAATCCTAAACCATAGACACGAATAGAATTGTTAAAGGAGCAATGAACAAGTTGATATATCCAATTCTTGTGGAAATTGTTTATGTTAATCTGCCAAAATAGAAGAAACAGGATATTGTTATTAACCAAATCAGAAGTCATGAGACAAATTTCAACACTATATTGCATTCTAAGATTAGATGTAACAATTATATGTAAAAAGGTGTTGGAATATTTTCAAAATATAGCAAAAGAATGAATCTTAATTGATTTAACATTATGTATTATTAGTCATTGGAATGAGAAACTAATGACTAAGAAGCTATACAATAACTTTGGAAAATTTTCAAACAAAGAAACTTCCAATATAGGACATTTCAAATGCTCATACATGAGAATTCAAATTTCATTTGAAAAATAGTCCCCCGCTTATTTTCAGCAATTCTGGCAACTCAAATCATCAACTTTTGTCCAAAATGACACCGAAAGTAACATCTATGGACCATATAAAGACCTGAATTTTATCTGTCAAACACTAATCCGTTGTCACTACAGATCATATCCAATGAAGAATCAAAACGACTCAATGCTGTAGAATCCACCTTCCAAGATGCAGAATCAATAGCCAAAGCAATTGGCAATGCCAGCAAAGTTGTTGTCACTATTGGCCCTGGTGAAAGTGGTCCCAGTTCCGCGGTCTCCACATCAGACGACTTACAAGTGATCCAAGCTGCTCAACTTGCGGGCATAGGCCATGTGGCAATAGTTTATGATGGTAACGCAGCGGGTGCTTCTACTTATAACGTGCTTGATGGCATCACGTCATTCTTCGGCAACCTCTTGTCTCAATCTCAACCGTTGTCTCTGCCCGAATTCTTACAAAAAATAATCCAAACTGATGTTAGCTATACGTTCTTAAAGACAACCCTGATAGAAGATTATTCTGCAGAGAGCTCTTTCAATATTATCGTGTCAGCTAAAGGAAGCATTGTTGCAAACGACTACAAAGTAATGTAATATAATGTAATGTATGCAGTTTTATCTGATTCCTTGTGAAATTTTTTCTTTCTTGATCAGAATTTTCGTTTGTCTTATTGCTCAATGTTTTGAGAAATTGTGGTTAGGTTGTGAAATCTCAGATAGCCTCTCTGGTGGCAGATGTTTTCTCCAACACAACTGTTGCATAAGATAAGGTACAATTAATTTGAAGGGTTCATTATTGGGTGGTAACTCAGCTATATATATAGGTTCATTTAGCTGGTAAAGTGATCAGCTGAAGATGAGATATAAATCCAAGTGTGACCATGCATGGTTTTGATTCCATGTAAAAGTGATTTATTTGTAAACGCTTGTATCATGCATAATGCAAGTATTCAAAGTCTACTTAAAGATGGATAGTAGTTTATTTTATTTCAATGATCATTTCTCGGTTACCCACATATCTTAGCAGTTGATAAATGAGACAGGTTGTGGAAGTTTTTGCAAGCCCATCAGCTCCATTGAAGGGTGTAGATGAGCATTCAGGTAAATTGCTTGGGTAACAGTGTATCAATTATATAGTCATAAAAGATTTTAGATTTCTTGGGAAAGAAATATGTCCTGATTTTTGCTTTTGTTACTTGCTTGGGAAAGAAATTCGTGGGTTGATCTCACAAAAATTATGAATATACGTATACATACACATATACATATATATATATATATAGAACTTCTATAAAAAAAAAAAAAAGATATTATAAGGTACTATTGCAATGATAATGAACAAATGAAAATTGAGTTACATAAATGACAAGTGTGGATTTGTGGAAAGTTTCCATTGGTTACGTTTCAAATCTTATTGTTTATATGCTTATCCTTTTGTCCTCTCAATTTGTGGAAAGACTCTTCAACCTGCTAGATACTATTTAAGAAGGGAGATTCCAATGATTGAAGCCAAATAGATCAAAGAGAAGGAATAAGAAGATCAGTAGAAATGGCTGATGAGGCAGCAGATGTAAGCGGTTGCAGGAACAACAGATGGTCACTTCATGGCATGACTGCTCTTGTTACTGGTGGAACCAAAGGAATTGGGTTCTCTTTTTTCTTCACCTTGAATTTCTCTATTTTTCTCCTACAATACTATATGATTTTTCTTTTCATGGTTTGGTTAAATTCAAAGTATAAATGTATATGTTTCTTTCTGGTTTAGTCCCCACAAGAAAATCTCAACTTATGACATGAGAAAGACGTTATATTTTATTATTTAATCTAATATCATATACTATTTATTTTTTTATGCTAAAATCCAAAAGACATAATCATATGAATTTAAATAAAAATTGATAATTCGAAAACATAGTTACATAAAGAAAGTATACAAAATTTCGAATAATTTGAATATGTTCTTGTACTTTATTTTATAGGTATTTGCGTCTTTCAATAAACATCAATCATATTTTGCCCATAAATACTCATTTTATTTTATTTTTAATTATTGATCTTTTCATTAAATTTATTAATTTATTTTTTAAATTATTTTTTATTATTTTTATGTTATTGTGCTTATTAAGCAAAGTAGACATCAATTATCATCTTATTATCATGATTTTAAGCCAATGTTAAAACTTGGTGTAATTGACCAACAAAAAAAACCAGTAAGGATTTTGATGAAGAGACTAGATTTCATGTGATTCCATATTATTTTGACTCTATAGGAAATTGATGATAAAGGGTTATATTATATTACAATTACCATTCTGATCTGAAGAAATTGATGAAACTTGCATTTGATAATTTGACTGATCTCAAGAAACCTGCAAATGATCAGCTACGCTATCGTAGAGGAATTAGCTGGACTGGGTGCAAGAATCCACACATGCTCGCGGACTGAAACTGACCTCAACAGATGCTTACTTGACTGGGAAGCAAAGGGTTTTCAGGTAACTGGTTCTGTCTGTGATGTATCATCTCAGGCCCAAAGAGAGAAGCTAATGAACACTGTCTCCTCTAAATTTGATGGAAAACTCAACATCCTGGTAACCAAACATATATATATATATATATATATATATATATATATATTCTTCTGCTTTCTCTCATTCTGCAAGCATTGTGTCCTGCGAAATCTGTGGTTCCAATCATGCCAAATTTGGTGTGGCTCTAGATTAACAATGTGGGGACATTTATTTCGAAGCCGACTCCAGAGTTCACAACAGAAGATTTCTCATTTATCATGGGGACGAATTTCGAGTCTGCTTACAACTTTTGCCAACTTGCATATCCTCTTTTGAAAGCTTCAGGGAGAGGAAGCATTGTTTTTCTGTCTTCAGTTAGTGGTGTGGTAACAGTAAGTGTTGGATCTATATATGGAGCAACAAAAGGTATAGTATTTCGTGTTTTTCCCGCCAAAATAAAACCTCTACTCCATTGAAAGATTGAATTTAAGATGTCATTAACTCCATTGTTTGCAGGAGCCATAAACCAACTTGCAAAATACTTGGCTTGTGAGTGGGCAAAGGACAATATAAGGGTCAATTCTGTTGCACCATGGTTCATCCGAACTCCCCTTGTTGAATCTGTAAAAATATTTTTCCCCAATGTTTACTCTTTAATTTTATGTTTATATCAGCATGATCATATCATTCAGATCAGTAACCAACAATGATCTGTATAATATTTTTGTTCCTCAATCTGTATAAAACTTTCACTGTTGTAAGTAAATGTTTTTTCTTGGGTTGATAGCTGGTTTCATTCTCCATTATCTTGCAGATCATTGAAAATTTCTCGGAAGCCATCATCTCTCGAACTCCGATGGGTCGAATCGGAGAGCCAGACGAAGTGTCATCCTTGGTGGGGTTCCTGTGCCTACCAGCCGCTTCCTATATGACAGGGCAGACTATTTGCATTGATGGTGGGATGACAGTGAATGGCTTCTTCTACCCTGAAACCCTTACTGGATAAGAGCACCTAGGCCAATGCAATAGACACCTCAACTACATGATCAGCTTTCTAGTGTTGGAACATTTTCAAAATAATGTCACATAACTTGTGTGTGATGATAAGATCTTATGTCTTATTTCCTGAGACTTGTGTTGGGATAATTGTGTCTGCACAGACAGGCATATGAACAACTATGTAATATCTATTTGAATAATTATGTCTTTATAAAAATGCATCTATTTGATTATAAATAAAAGAACTTGTACATGCAACAAAAACCAAGAAAAACTACTCGTCTTCTGAAACCAAATCAGATAATGATCGATAAATTAATTTCATCAATGCAAAATATAATTAATTATTAGGTATATAGATTTTATAATATCCTCAAAGTTTATACATAACCACACTATTTCCAGGAAATCATTCATATATAAACATAATATATCTCAGTTAGAGCAGAGAAATAAGAATATGGCTGAAGCAGATGGCTCAAACAGATGGACTCTTCAAGGTATATGACTGCACTTGTCACTGCTGGAACCAAAGGAAAATGAAAAAATATCAATTATTTAACAATATAAAATCTTAAATTTTAGTCTGATCACTTGAAGCAAATAAAAGATGCCGATGATTGCATCACAGTGGCCAAAAAAATCAACGAATATCAATCCAAATCTACAATGGCACCATAGAAAATGATTTCACAGTCCAAGCTGGTAACTCACCCACCTTCCCCTCTGAAATTTCTTGCAGCTACCAAATCACCTATTCCCCTACCAAACCTCTCTCACTTTTTGAAGTTATGCCAGCACCAATCTGAGTCGACTAATTGGCAAAAAGCTGAGGAATCCTTGATGAGTTTGATCTAAGTTGGGGTGCCTCATTTTTCCTTGATGGGCAAATGGTGGGGAGGGAGGAGAAACCCGGCTGATATGTTCCTCGGAAGATTTCATTAATAGAGTGTTTATTTCATTAATTTCGTTAATTTTGAATTGAATTATATTATATTATTTTTATTAATCAAACTAAAAATATTAATTTTAAAAATTAACCAATTAAATTTGTTTCAGTCAATTCTATTATTTTTTTTTATTAACTGAATAATAAATATATTTAAACTTTTCATTTTTTAAATAAATTAAATAAAACTATTTAATAAAATATTTAAATATAAAAATATTATATTAAAAATTTTAATTATTTATAAAATAAAATAATCAATTCCATATATCTTTTATTTTATATATGAATTTTATAAAACAATTCATATTTGTTTTATTCATTGTTACACCATTTTGAGGACATCATGGATGATGATGATGATGCTAATTTAGAAAGCGATTATATTAATATATCCTTAAGTTGCGTGAAATTTAATTGTTTTTTTATTAGGAAACTTTCTGATTAGGAAAGGAAACCTGACCAAACCAGAAACTTTGGTAACATTGTACACGCAAGAAACAGATCAGCTTTCATTCAGTAGTCTAATCTTAAGATAGATGAGACAATCTGTATGATTGATTTATGTAAAATATTATATTTTATTATATTTTATATAAAATTTATTTTCTCAATATAAAAATATAAAATATAATTTTAAATTTATTAAATTTATTTATAATTTTTTTAAAAATTTTAAATTATATTTTAAATTATTATATCTAATTTGAGATATATTGGACAAATCATGAAATCTTTACCTTAAATTAAAAAAAAAAAAAAAAGGAATCTCTCTGACTTAAGAATTTGATAATAAAGAATTAATTCACACCTGTTTGATTGAGAGTGCTGTTACTGTTAGAGTTAGAGAAAGAAACCAAACTCTTTAACAGCCAATTACGTGAACTTAATTTTTAAAAATAATTGAAGGCTTTCTATCACTTTCTGACACGTTTTTTTTCTTAAGATAGGCCTGCTTCAATGCCAATTTTTTGAAAAAAAAAAAAAAATCCTATTAGTTAATTATTTTGACTTCAAACCAAAGGAATATAAAATTTTTTGACTTGAAAGATATTTTACGGTATTTTTGAATAATCTTGATGTATATTCGTATCACTTTCTCAAGAAAATTATTAACACCCCTTTTAGGGTACATGAAATTTTCATGGGATTTGCCCTTCAACAAAATATTTGATTTGCTCTTCAACAAAACCCCAAATCCAAATTCATGGTCATATCTTATGTCTTTGTTTACTATTATATATATATATATTTTTTTTTTTTCAATAATTTTTTTCCTTTTTTTTTTTCACAAAAGGTGTGTGTTAATTAGAAATGAATTTAGATTTATAAATCATAAGCCTTGCTTCACTTTATAAATATATATTTTATGAATTCATGATAAGTGATATAAATATATTAGAACTTACTAAAATTTTCATTAATGTGTAAGAGATACAAAATTTTATGTAGGTTTGTATCAAAGTGAATCCCTTTCTTTTAATAATTTATATAAAAAAAATATATGAATCTTAGATGAAAATGATCTTCCACTTATTTATTATGAGTCTTTCTTCACATAATAAATCAATGACAAACAATAGATGAGAGTGACCTTCCACTCATAAATTATGACTCTTTCTTCCCTTAATAAGTCATTGACAATTGTATGTATTTTAAGAAGGATATTTAGGTTGAGCTAGGGAAATTTTGATGTGAATGATGTAGTGATTTAGTGCAAATTTCTTACTTTAGGAATATATATATATATATATATATAGAGAGAGAGAGAGAGAGAGAGAGAGAGATTTTTAAGGGAATGTTTGATTTGTGGAGTTTTAAATTTTAATAAGGAATGTTATTTTGGAAGAAAGTGATATTAAAAGAAAATGTGTGATTTTTAAGTTTTATTAACTTATGAAATATAAGATTTTTATATTTGATTTAAAAAAATATAAATTTACTTAATAAAATATTTTATTATATTGTTCTCGATAATATTTAAATAGCACATGATATTTGTAATATGTTACATATAAATAATAAGGTTTCATTGAAATTAAAAGAATTTTGAAATTTTTTTCATTTATTCAATAAAAATAATTTTACAATCTTAATTAGGTATCTTTATGCAAAAAAAATATGTAAATTAATTTTCACTATAAAATCGATGTGGGGGTTGAAAGGGGGTAGTAAACGTTTTTCCTAGAGGTTTTAAGAGGCAAAGCCCTGTAATAAATTTTATAAGTAATAATATCAAGTAAATATATTTCAGATTTTATATATAATAACATTAAATAAAAGATATTTTATATTTTATTTTAATTTTGTTATGAAAAGCAATATCCACTATTTTTTTAAGCTCAAAATGCAATCTTTATTAAATTTTCAAAATTTTGTGGTCTTTATTAAAATTTCTAAATTTTGAAAATAAAGTTTCAATATCTACCACATTTTTTATGTTCAAACATGATTTTTGTTGAAATTTTAAAATTTTCAAAAATAAAATTTCAACATTCAGTACGTTTTTTTTTTTTTTTATCTAAGAAATACAATTTTTATTAAAATTTCATAATTTTGAATAAAGTTTTAACATCAACTATATTTGTTATGCTCAAAATGAAGTATTTGTTAAAATTTTAAAAATAAAATTTCAACAATCATTACAATTTTTTTATGCTCAAAACACAATCTTTGTTAAAATTTCAATTTTCAAAAGCAAATTTTCAACATCCATTAAGTTTCTTATCTTAAAAACGTAATTTTTGTTAAATTTTTATAATTTTGAAAATTAAATTTTAAAATCTATTACGTTTTTTATATTAAAAATATGGTATTTATTAAAATTCAAAATTTTCAAAAATGTAGTTTATCTTTCAAATATCAATACAATTAATATTTAAAATAATTTTAATTTCAAATAATTTAATATTATTGTATTTTTAATTTTAAATAATTTAATATTATTTACAAAATATATATTAACAACTATTATATTTTGTTAAATACGTTCAAATCAATTATATAAACTAAATACAATTTTTATCCTAATAAATAAAACTCAATACAAATTAAAACTAAATTAATTTTATATTTTTAAAAAATAAAATTTAAACATGATTATTGTCGGTATCAAATAGGTAAATTTTACATTCCATTCAAATTATAAAAAACTTTCAAGGAAATGAAAATTTATGATTCAAATCTATTTTCATTCTTTTGATATTATTAGAAATTTTTAAAAAATTCAACCAATCATGTTAGGAGAATGACATATAAAAATCATATTATAAAAAAAATTTTACTTTCTTTCAAGCTAAAAGTAACAGTGTAATTAAATCAAGTTGAGTTGATATAGTAAAAAATTCGAACGCTCGATTTGAATTCGATTAAATTTTAATTTTTAAATTTAAATTTAATTTAAAATAAAAATTAAGTTATTTGAACTCATTTGATTATATTTATTTAATAAAAATAAATTTGATTTTTATATTTTATTTTAAATTTGATTGTGTTCAAACATAAGTTCATATTTAAATTAATATATATAAATTAAACAATAAGTTTTTAATTAAATTAATAAAAACATATTAAAATTTAAAATTTTAATTAAATTTATAAATTATTTAAATCAAATATTAAAATACTTAAACTTAATTTATTTGAAAAATTAAATTATTTAAATTTAAATTTAATTTAATAATAATTAAAACGAGTTTAAATTTTAATCAAAATGAATTGGAATAATATTTTAATCCCTATCCAAAACCCGGTAAAAGACAAAGAAAAGGTGTCATTACCAGCAGCAAAGATTATCTACTTTCGTCGACTTTTAAACTCCTACAAATTAAAAAACCTTTTTTTTTTTGAGAAACCCAAAAAATCCTCCACTACCTGAACTTAAATCCCCTGTTCTAGGCTGTCAGATGCCACCCAGACTTAGGTGTCAACTGCAAAATCCTCCTCTTTCTACACTTGCACTTACCAGTTCTTTTGTGCATGCGTGGTTATGTCACAGGCGCCAAATGTAATCAAAACCATTCCCTGAAAACTACGCCTACATGAAATCTGCCCAACATGCACAGAACTAGCCTCACCACGTAGCCATCCCCTTCAAATTTCCCTTACCTCAACTGATCCCAAATCCCTTCTTTTTCCTAGAAAACCAAACAACCCTTCTCTTACCTGCCCTCTTTTTCCATTTCCAAAAAAAAAAAAAGAAGAAAAAAACAAGTTGGGAAGAGTTTCAATTTCGAAGAAGAAGGTGGATACGAGACCAACACCAACCAACTAACCAGACATTCCCCATTTTGATTTGATTAAAGTAAACTCTGGTTAACGCTTTCCTCTTCCCTTTCCTCAAATTTTTATTGATTTTTTATTTTTCATTTTCAAAATCACGTGGCAATCTGACCTTCTTTTTCTCCAATGTGTCGACTTCATGCAAGATGTAACCCTCCTCAGTTACTATCAAGTTTTTGCTTGCCAGCTTGATTTTACACGTGTACCGTTCTCTAGTGGCTCTCCCACCTGTGGCCCCCACTCTTCCCGTATTCTCCTCTGTCACGTCACACGTTGTCCAACCTTATTCTTCCACGTGGATATTGTTGCCTAAAGCTCCCCTCTCTATTATTGTGTACGGTAAAGGCCTCCTCTTGCTTGGGGGCCTAAACCGTAAAAATAATAAATTCTGTGGACCACAAGGGCTCTAGATATTCTACACGTAGGCGTCAACGATGTGGACGTGGGACCCACAAGTCAAAATCAGCAACTGATACGTAGAAAAATATGATTGGACCACGATACCAAAACGGAATAAAGTTGGGACACGTGGCTCAATTTCGTATTCCTTGATAGAGACACGTGGACAGACTCGAAATCAAAAAAAGGAAAAGGTTTTATTATTATTATTTTTTTCATCTCAAAAAGAGTTCAAAATAAATGGAAAAAAATGGAGGACCACATGCGTGTCGAGAAGGGGTTCCTCTGATGCCGCTGTTGAAACCTGATTGGGCCACGTGAGACGGTAACTGATTAGAGATAACACGTGGTGGATGCAAGGGAAGAGAGATGTGAGATCAACGGTGGAGATGAGTTCATTTAGGGGAAAGAGCACTGTGTCACGGTACAAATTGAATACTACCTGTCTTTTTGTCTGCCCGTGATGGTGACGGGCAGCCTACCCGTACCCAAAAAAAAATAGCTTCTACCTAAAACTGAAAGCCTCTTCCGTTTAAAAGCATTCGTCTGTAGGGCGCGCGAGCGTTCTTTCTATTTCGTTTTCGCATTCGACTTGCATCGATTCTTTTTAAAGCGTAATTAAGAAAAAAATTTCATTTTTAATTACGAGTGTAAGAGGTTGAGAGATTTGTTACCGGAAATTTTCATGATAATGATACGGTGGTTTAAGATGTTGTGATGGCGGAGATCAGCTGCGGAGTGGTGAGCGAAGGTGAAGCGTCAAGACCGTGCGAGCTGAGTTCACATGCTGCGAGAAGACGTAGAATGGAGATTAGACGGATAAAACTCGTGGAGGTGGCTCCATCTGAGACTAAGAACGGCCGGAAACGCCAGAAGCTCCAAATTTACACCGCCTCCCTTGCTCTTGACTGTGAAAACGCTGAAGACAATTCAGCCTCCGATGAAGACGGGAAAAAACAAACGGTAAAAGTTAAAAATGGAAGATCGAAAACGAAAGGAACGATAGTGAAAAGTCACTCGAGTCCCTCGCTTTCGGTACCTGTAATCAATTCGGAGTTATATCCTAAATTCGGCGTTGCTTCAGTTTGTGGAAGGCGTAGAGACATGGAAGATGCCGTCGCTATTCACCCGTCGTTTCACCGCCAAGGCCAGGACTCTACCGCAATTGGCTTCCACTATTTTGGCGTCTTCGATGGCCACGGTTGCTCTCACGTACGAGTCTTAAAATTTTAACAATGAAAATAAAAATCAGTTATTTCTTTTCTTTTCTGAAAAAATTATTTTTTTGTGGCCTTTTTGGTTGTTACTGTTTATTAGGTGGCGATGAAGTGCAGAGAGCGGTTACATGAGCTGGTGAAAGACGAGTTGGAGAGCGAGGAGGAATGGAAAGGTGCGATAGAGCGTAGCTTCACGCGCGTGGATAAGGAAGTGATCACGTGGAACGAGAGCATGGTTGGAGCTAATTGCCGATGCGAGTTACAGTCTCCCGAGTGCGATGCCGTTGGATCTACCGCCGTTGTCGCTATCGTAACGCCTGATAAAATCGTTGTTGCTAACTGTGGTGATTCCAGAGCTGTTTTGTGTCGTAACGGCAAGCCCTTTCCTTTATCGTCTGATCACAAGGTTAGCACTTCCCAGCTCTCTCTCTCTCTTATTTAAGGCAATAAATACTTATGATTTCTTAGCCTGTTTGGTTTCCGGAAAAATGCCAGGTAATTTTCATGTGCAATAGAGACAAGATAACCGATAGTTTTTCTTTTCTTTTTTCAGTTTCTAGTTAACCAAACGACTTGCTTTAAGAAACAAGACTCGATTTCGTTCAAAAGCATCCCCTCCCCCTTCTTTTTTTTTTTTTTTTGGTCCGATTAATTTCCAGGCAGCCAAACAGCTTAAGCTAGAACGTAGATTAAGCATTTAGGATTTAGGCGCATTATCTTCATGCAAATCATGTGGAAACATTGAGATTATCTGAATCCAACGGCTGGAATTTGTTTTGGCGGTTTCAATAACGAAGCTTTGAAAATAATTTTTGAATTATTGTCTTTATTAATACAATGATAAAACAATGTGTAATTAAGCTCCTTGTGTTTTTTCATTTAAAACATGTTAACAGCCGGATCGTCCAGATGAGTTGAACCGGATCGAAGAAGCGGGTGGTCGGGTCATTTACTGGGATGGCCCTCGGGTCCTCGGAGTCCTCGCAATGTCCAGAGCCATAGGTAAAAATTCGAAACACTGAACTAAACTCGCACTTTCTTTGACAACCGGAGCATGATAGCACAATTTCCTTATCCTGCGCCGCCTAACTCTAAAACATTGTGTACGCAACAGGCGATAACTACTTAAAACCTTACGTGAGTTGTGAGCCGGAGGTTACGATTACGGATCGGACGGCTGAGGACGAATGTTTGATCCTGGCGAGTGACGGTTTATGGGATGTGGTGTCAAACGATACTGCTTGCGGGGTGGCACGCATGTGTTTGAGAGCGAAGAGAGATGTGCCATGTTCGCCGCCAGGAGGAGTGGAAGAGGAGGCGGCCGTCGGGTCCACGATGGGAGCGGGAGGAGGAGATATCTCGGATAAGGCGTGCACTGACGCGTCCATGTTGCTGACAAAGCTGGCATTGGCCAGGCATAGTACGGACAACGTTAGCGTAGTCGTGGTGGATCTAAGGAGAGCCACGTAGCTATTTGAAGTTTCAATCTTTTTCTTTCTGTTCTCTTTCTTTTTGTTTTTGCTTTTCCAAGATTTATGGTATATCACAGGTAAAATCAAGAGACAAGGGAAGTGCAGTGTTAAAATTTTCCTCAATGAGCGGAAAAGATCTGAGTAACGCAAAACCAAAGCAAAAAATGCTTTCCTAGAATTTTTTTTAATTAATGCATTAGATATTTTTTAATTTATAAAAAACTGGTCTCACAATCACAAATGATTGATCGATTTTACTTTTTAATTTTGCGTAATCAAAGCGTTTGAAAGATATGAATGATAGTTTTATAAATGAGATAAGATGTAGGGAGCAAAGTGTCAAATTTAAGGATTTATGAATGGATTTGGAAGCTTCAAAAGAAGATAGCTGCTAAAGTACCACCTCGAGCAAACTTCGTAATTGTTTCTTACCCAACACAGAATTTTGCAACCCCAAAAATAAGCTAAATTAAGAAATTATTCCACCAAAAGTTTGGGGTTTGTTTGGTGAGAGACGTTTTGATAGAATGACATCCTCGTACGTCCAATCATCACATGCCAATCAACTATTCTTTCCAATTATTGGCATAAAGCGAGAGAAAATTAAGTGGCAAGGAATTCTGCCTCAGTCACTCAAAAAAAAAAAAAAAAAGAAGAATAAGGCCACCCCATTTTATATATGCTAAATTGTATTACTAGATTAAACGTGTACACTTGAAAATGCAGGAAATCTTTTCTTCTAAAATGTTAGTGCCGTAAGGACACTTGAGCACATTACTCTCAAAAACAAACGTAGAAATAGTGGCTTAAGTTTTAAAATAATTTATTTAAAATTGGTTAGATATTGATTTATGGATAAAAAAAATTGCAAAAAAAAAATTTAAGAGAAAAATTATTCTTAATAAATAAGTTTGTAATTTATGAATAAATAAATTTGTATATTTATAAACATATGTTGTTTTCATAAGATTAAGTGTAAAATTTTATTATGTAGACATTCTATAAAATTAATGTATTTATAGAAGTGTATTTTTGAATGGATTAGATAAAAATAAAATGATCACATAAGTATGATGCATGAATTCGTATATATGTTTAGATTTAAAATATTTCATCGAAAAACATTAGAAGAGTTTATAAATATTAATTATTGAATTATTGATATAATTTGTATGATTATAATTTTCTATAACTAGTGAATTTTTTTTTTTTCATTTATAAACGTAAGTCAATTGAATTGAATCAAATTAACTTATTATATCTTATATGATTGATTAATTATTTATTTTCACTATTGTTGGTGCAAATATTCAATTAGAATAAGATTTTTTTATCTAACAAGTGATATCAAAATTGTAAAAATCTCACAAAAACATGATATGAATTTTCCGGGAAATACTACAAAATTAGCTTATGAGAAGAGCGCAATTTCTATCTTTTCTGGTAAAAGCTCAAAGATTCATCTCATTCAACACTACTCATGCTTGCCTTCATGCATTGTTTGCAGGAAATCAACTTATCAACTACCCTCAATTCTCATTTTTCCTTCCTTTTTTTTTTTTTTTTCCCTATCGTCTTAAACAACTCTCATGATAGGAATTTATATCGTCTTAAGAGCGATCAAGGACAGAGGAAGAGGACCATAGAACATGAGTTAAGAATAGGACAGCAACTTCATTCATGTACGGAACATGGGTCACAAAATGTCCAAAGAAATCTTTCCAATGATTCCACATTAGCACATGCTGTGAACATGAACAGCAATTAAACAGGAAAAAGGTGGATGAAGGAACACAATGAGACCTTTTCCAACATGCCCTTTATCAGGAACTCTATTCTAATGTCAAGACCTCGAAACTAATTTTCTCCATTATGTTTGCTTATTGTCATCTTCTTCAACTCCAATGTACTTTAGTGCTTTCAATTTCCTGTATCCCTTATCAGTGCCAAATATCCTGAGAGAATATACATGGCGATCGCCCATAGTCAGTATTACATTGATACCATTTTCTAGACATTGTTGCTACAAATAAAGGATTTCAGTGCACATTGAACCTAACAGCAAAATGATATTTGTCACCAGGAGATAATGTCCAGACCCCTCAATTTATTATGAAGAGTTGGATTGCAAATGGAAACAGAATTGACAGGAATGAAAGTAGTGTTGGTGAGAGCATTGACAGATATTTCAGATGGTTGTGACTTAGAAGTTATAACCTCAGACAGAGACTTAGGAAGACAATCCATAACAAATATGAACTCAGAATGGTGCTATTAAATCCCAAAAGCAGATTCAGCATCCAGAAGTAGGCTTTTTATGATAAAGTGGCTTCTTGAATGGAATCTGACCAAGAAAACATGCTAACGGTTCAAAGAATAAATGTGAAAAACTAACCAGTCCATGTATACAAATGTTGATGAGTAGTTGCCAGATTTCGTATATAGCAAACGGTGATGATAGTCATGAAAATCAGCACTGGAAAAATGAAAATATTAACGATTACGTCACAGCTGATGGATAAACATAAACATAGAACTACATACAATCACTGAAGCAAAGCAAAAAGTGAATGCCGAACTCACCCCCCATATAAAGGCAGAAAGTTTGAGAGGCTCCATGGAAAATGGTAACCACAATGTGCCTCAACTGTCTCAAGGACTCTAAGAACCATCCACAACCAAAGAGTTATGAGATGTGGGCCAGTAATGGCAGGACCAACGATTGTGGCAAAGCCGAGGAACAATATCTCAGCAGGGTGAGCATACTCAGAAGTCAGTCCAAATGGAGTAGCATATCTGAATGATTTATATTACATAAAGTAATCAATAAGCACATGCAAGAGAACCTAGCAAGAAAACTATTGTATTCGTAGTTTTAGGTTTTAATTAGTACAAGCACCTAATATTCAGACTTACTCATGATGGATACTATGCACATGCTTGTAAAGCCATTTTGTATGTAAAATACGATGTCCCCAGTAAAACACGAAATCCTCCAGGATGAAGTAGAATATTATCTGTGATAGAACCACTTTCCTGCAGAACCATATAAAGCATCTAGCTAATTACAGCTCCAAAAAAGAGATGGTAAATATATGGAGGATAGGTTTCTGGATAAGTAAAATATAATTCAAGGCTATTATGTCTGAATGGGGTAAAAATGGAGGATAAAAAGATCTAGCATATAAAGAACCTGAAAATACCAGGATGGCAATGGCAGACTACTTTTCATGCCCATCAATTTGAAGACAGGATAAGAGAGAATCATAAGCGGTAGGTTGACACTAATATGATACAGAAGCAGGCGGGTGATACATTTTTCCTGAGCAGCAGAGCTGTTGTTTTTTGTCTGCATAGAAACATTAATTAGAAACAAAACAAATTAATTATGAATTCTACTAGATAAAGACAAAGAAAGGATATTTTTTCATCCCTAACATCCCCCTTCTAAAATTTATATTAACAAACTAAGAAAGTATTAACAGTCAATAAAAACAGCAGCAAAGAAGATGGAGTTAACCTGAATCTTGTATTTGCTCAGAAATCCAGCTCTTTCCAGATATATAAATGGAAGTCCGGATAAGAAAAAAACACTTTCATGAAGAAAGAAACTTCCCATACTTGCTAGTTGGAAGTCACTGAAATGTGTGATCAGATACTGCAAGGTGAACAAAGAAGACTTTCAGGTAGAATATCTTATTGGCATGGCATAAACTGCTCTTCTATGCATGCAAAGAGTATGATATGATTCAAACTAAATAACAAACTATCCGGCGGTGAAGTCAATAAGCAAAATGAGACAAATTTGCCAACAATTCGAAGTTCCGTTAAAGATCCTTTGCTACAGACCAATATACTATAGATCAAAATAATCACTTACAAGGAACACATCAAGGTTCTCTAGTCTAAATGCCATTTTCAGGTACTTGTTATTGTTCAGTAATATCCTTGATGAACTAATGAAGTAGGCAATCTAACAAAAAGCTATAGTGAAGCAGTAACATGGATTCAAAACCCAGACCAATCTCCTTTCTGCAGCGATCATCATCCCAGTTATGAAAACAATAACAATCATTTGCAAGACTTAGAAGCAAAAAAAAAATAATAATAAAAAAATGCTGGCAAAATGCAATTTCAGTGTGTAGGAGAGAGGAAAACCAAAGAGTATTATTCAATCAAATCCTGCTTTGCAAAAATCGAACATCAACATCCACCATCTACCCTTGAATGTCACCATCCAAAAACAGATAAAAACTAAAACTTTCAAATAATATAACCATTATCCAACCAACCAAATTTCAGATTTAACTACCTTAATCCCAAAACCACATAAACCCAACAAAGACAGATCCAAAATAAGCAGTGGGCAGTCCCTAAAAAACTCGAAAAGCAACAAGAAAGAGCAAAAAGGAAGGAACTTTACCAGCCAGCCAGATTCAATAATGGAAGCCATGAGAGCTTGGAAGTGAAAAGAAGCTATTGATCTCCACAATGGTTTTTTAATAAAAATAAAATCTTTGCGAGAGAGAGAGAGAGTGTGTTAAGTAAAGAGACAGACAAAGAGTGAATATTGAGAGAAGCTAAGGCCACGAGGTGAGTACAGAACTACAGACTGTCAAAAGGAATCTGGGCTTTATTTATGGGCCCTTTTCTCTTCGGCCTTTTTGCATATAAATTCACCCACAGTTTTGTTCTCGTGCTTTTCACCAATTAAGATGAGCCACAACAATTAAGAGAAAATAAAATAAAATTTACTGTTTGTATCCAGCTATCCGAAAGAAATAAAACTGTAAAAAAGCATCGGAGGGAAAAGAATGGTTAATGATAAAGGTTACAGATAATTTCAGTATTTATATTTTCGATGTTTAAATCAGAAATTGACTTAAAAAATATGAAATAAAAGCCCAAAGCTTTTAAAATTCAAGATAAATTAAAAATACTTGAATAAAATTATTTATACTTGTGTAATAATAAATTTTTAATCTAAATTACTCGATCAATTTTAAAATATTAAAATTAATCTCGTAAATTCGAGTTAAACTAATAATTAATTATCTATTTAAAACATAACAAATTAACATCTTAAGACATTAACTTGTAAGTTATTGAGATAAGTAAGTCAATATTTGATTCAATACGTCGATTAAATTAA